TCACTTCCTGCTGGCCACCATGCACATCCTGCCCTGAGCCTGGCAGGCACTCTTCTATGGCCCCTGGTGCCCTTCCAATACAGGTGCGACTGAGACTAGCCTGTGGCTATAAGCCCACTGGGCAATGGGTTATCTGTGTGATGAGGCAGCATTAGTGTGGGTGTATTATAAGTCTATTATTATCTCTTTTGAAAAATAAGAGTAAATGAAACTTAGCAGAGAGAGAGGGGCGCGGGGGTGGAGGGGACAGAGATGGCAAGCACGTGACAACTGCCTGGGAGTAGTAGCTCAGAAGAGACAGGACTTGCCCCCAGAGCCAGTGCCCTGAACCATGAGAGAATAAACATCTGTTGCTGAAAGTGTTTCCGCCAGGGTGGCACGAGCCCACTAAGCTGGTTCTCCCCCCCTGACGCTGCTGGTGCCAGGCATATGGGCCCACACGGGAGCAGGAGTAACAGTGGGAGAGCGGTCCATAAATATAATTAAAGGCCAAAACACACATTGTCATAGAGATTTTAATAGACTTTGATTAGCTCATTACAGCAATCCATTTCACTGTAATGATAGGCAGCTTTACTACACTACTATAAGTAAAAACAGATAAATACAGGTTAGGCAATGTCACAGATTAAGTACACTGAGCATTCTTCATGAACCAAATCTGAAAACAATCATGGATGAGAAGATGGCGACACCCATTTTCACAGTACCTTCCTCAACATGGGGAGACAAATAAGGCGCTATACTTAATCATACTGGCCAGTTCATCTGCCAATTGGCCAGGCACATGTTATTTCCGGTGTCTACCATGTCATGGTTGGGTTTAAAAGCAGGCATAGCTCCAGGGATCGGGAACTGCAACAGAGCAGTCATGCCAAAGGGACCAAACGAATGCAGTCAATGTACGTCCCCTCTCGTGTCCCAGCAGTAAGACACACCAGGAATGAAAACCCTATACGCAAGCAGCCAAGTTAGCACTTCAGTACTCACCCTGAACATGTGTGTCTCTAAAGCAGGCTAGCCAGTGGAAAGGGGAGATCAAAACAGGAAATGTGGGGAATGGAGTTGAGTTTATGTATAAAACTGTGTGCATGAAAATGGGTCTCTCCTTTGAAGTCTTGCAGTTTAGGACAAGAATCATATTATCCAGTAGCCAGGCTGGGGAGTTCAGACCTTAGCAGTGCCTAAAACAAAATTAAATGCTCTACTGTAGTGTCAGTGCTGACTCACAGCGATTCTATGTAAGACCTCCAATCTTTACGGCACTGACAGCGTCATTTCTCCCATGGAGCAACCGGTGGGTTTGAACTGCCAACCTGGCAGTTTACAGCCTAATGCCGGCTCACAGCCCCACCAGGCTCCGTTGGCAGTGCCAACCATACTGCAAGCCCACTTAGGCCGGAGGGGTACAGAATTATCACTCGGAAAGGATTTGAGCCTGGATGTCCAAAATGAACTTCAAAGGGGCTATGAGGAAAACAATGTCTGCCAAAGGAATGACAGAATTATAGCAAAATACTGATTTCAAGCAAACAGCACAACGAAAACTGTCAGATTTTTAAAATCTTAGGATTTTTCTCAACTTTCAGTTGTCATTCTAATATTGCTTCACGATCTTATATAAGCTCTTCATGACCTTCATACCTGTATTAAGAACTAGAAAGTGAGGACTCCCTTCCAAAATAGAAGGAAAAAAAGTTAATTTGTTCTTGTGTTTTAGAAAACATCTGTCTGCAAAAAATCCCTTGCTTACCAAAGATGGATAATCAGAGTATTTGGGACAGTTCCTCTGAGTCTATCCCCCTTCCTCGCAGTAAATTAAAAGCACGATAAAAACAGACATGTCACCAAAAAACCACCCCACACTCTTCCGTGTCTTTTCAACCCTGTGCTCAAAAGTGCACACTGTCACCCGCCCTCCGGATGACCGTTCCACCCCCAGATTCCCAGGTTAGATTGTATTGACGTCCAAACTGTTAACCGCTACCTAGTGATTCTATTTTTCCATTTTAAAGGGTTAACATTCTTTAACTTTTGGTTTTAATTTGAAAAGTGACTTGTAGTGTTCCAGGCTTCCCGTTAAGGAGGCATGAACATGGACAGTCAGAGCGAACGCAGGAGCTGGCAGTGAAAGTGCAGAAAAGGTTAATGTGCAGAGTGGAGCGTCCAGAAATAACCACAACTTCACTGTCAACTTTGTTCCTATCTCCATGTTTGTATGTCTGGATTAGTCTATAAAAATCACATTAAGAGGGTAAAATTACTTAATTGAGATATTAACTGATCTGTATTTTATAAATTTTAATCCATAAAAATATAAATAAGAATGGTAAATTTTTTAGGAAAGAAATATACATTTAGTGCAAGTTATGAATTACATTTCTTCTCCAGTGTCAGCAGTAAAACATCTTGAGGAAAGGGTGGGGTGGGGAAGGCTGACTAATTTTAAGGGGAAAAAGTTCCAGTGTCTTTAACATGCAGTTAATACCAGACACAGCTGGACAGAACACGTCCTTCTCTGCCCTGGTCACGCAGCAGCATCTTCTTTCCTTGTGCTGAGCAGCACTTGTCTGTCAGAGTTTCGAAAGTGAAAAACTTGCATAAGACCAGGTCACATTACCCATAAAGTCTGAGATGAAAAATATCAAACCAAACAGCAACAACAAAAACCTGTGTATCCTTAAAAGTCAAGTTCCGTGGTTGATTCTCAGCCGGGCCGGGCGCAAGCTGGGGCATTTCAATCACGCCCTATGAGGTTTGACCAGTTGCACCTGCCTGGCTGTGGAACCTGTGCGATGGTCCAAGCACACGGCGATGGTGCACACTACCTGCTTCATGGCACACGGCACGCTCCCTTCTTGGGGTGGACCTCAGTAAAATCAGTACATCTCAATATGAGAAAGGACTGCTTCCAAAGGGTACACCAGTTTAAGAGGCTTTGTTACAACTCAGGAGAAAGAGAAAGAAATGCTCTTCTGGAATGTAGAAAGGTAATGGTTAACTGTACAATTCATGAGTTCAACAGAACAGTTTGATAAAAAAGGGCAAGACCCTGCAGTCTTACAGATGGCTCAATTCAGAGTAATCCCTCCGGAAACAGGGACTGATAGCGGGTCTTTGCAAGATCAGAGTAACAGGCTAGGTGCTCAAGACCTCCGGTGTCAGCTCCGTGGAGGCTCGGCCTGCACTATCACGGCAAATCGCAGCTGAATGCATCCAGTGCAGAACCAGAGGAATTGATTTGCTGCTCTCAGTGAGGTGGTGAAATGCCTCATTCCTCCTTTCCTTCTCTCTCTCCTGCCCCTCCCCACAAAACTCCTCCATACCACCAGCACTGTTTGCAAACCCTGTTGCAAAGGTCCAGCTTTTACAATTTCTTTTTTTAAGGAGAAAAAAAAAGTAGACGACTCCCTCAGGCTAAAGAGTTGTGCTATTCAACAAATGAACTTCCTCTTCTGTCTCCTCTCTCTCCTCATCTACGGGACTCAGTCGAACATTATGGACGCGGGGTCTTGGTTTGCCGTCTGGGCCATATGACGGAGGATATCTTTTTTTGTTATAATGCCAAGGAGGCGTCTGAAAGGGATAAACAGAAGATTGCTATTAAAATAAAAGGGAAATGGAAAAGAAGCTAAAGCTATAGCTAAATCCTTTTTGTTGACAAGAATAGAGCAAAGCAAGCAGCCTGAGTTTGTATTATCAAAAAATTATTTTATTGGTCAAGATAATAAAATATCCAGCAACCATCATTTGATACCAAAAGTAGTATGGTCACTAATAGTCTGCTGAGGTCGGATAGCTGTGTTAATGCGTACCCAAACAAAAACAAGGGGGAGGGACTGTATGGACAGGAAATGATACTGATCTCGTTTAGGAAGGTAAATCATTTCCGTCACAACAAAAAAGCAGTAAAATATCTGATGACCAAATCCCTTCAGACGTCCACTTTTTATTTTTTTAACCAAAATCAATCATTAAAAAAAAAACCTTAATGATTGCTCAGTTATATGTGGAATCTTCATGAAAACACATACATTCCAAATAAAATGCAAGCCAAAGGGTCACCACAGCAGCTCAAGCCCAAACTTCAGAACACCCAAGAATAAATCTAAAAATTAACTCCTATGTCAAGTAGATTCATCAGTGTTCCCCATTTTTTTTTTTTTACTTTGGCCCCAAAAGATTAAGATACAGCACTTCTCTGAAAGTCTCGGTTGTCAGTGCTCACATTAAACGATAGGTAAACAATCGAGAAGCATTTCTAAAAGATCGCAGGTGAGGCAGAAAGCAGAGTGAATGAGCTGCTAATACATTATTTTGGTTAGTACTTATTAAAAAAGGATGCATGAAACACTTGTGAAATATTAGCATACAACAGGAATACATAATCAGTTGTGTACTTTAGCAAACTGGGACAAGTTGCAACTATATATAGATGACAATTGCTTGGCAGAGTTAAGTTCAGGCATTAATTGCTAAAGCCAGACAGTTTTTATGTTATAAGGTATGATAATTCCAAATTTCCATTTAGTCATGAAAACACTTGGACATAAAGCCAGTAAAAACACATTTGACCACAAATGCTGCTTAGCATCATACAAAGGGCCACACGCGTAATCTAGGTACAATTCTCTAATGAAATGACAGGACACACATTCTTGACTTTGAAGGTATATTGGGGCTAGTAGAAAAAACATGCTATGATCACAAATATATACACAGAAGGCTCTTGGTTAGTGTGATCATTAAAGACTTCTCTGGATTTATTTTTTTAACTGATCAGCAATTCTAACATTGCTGAGATGGTTAAAATCACGAGGTTAGATTTACCATAAGACTACCATAATAAATTAAAGAAACAAAAAAGAAAAAGAGTTTGGGAGGTAGAGGCAGACATGTTTAACTAGTCAAGCATCTTCGGAGATGGGTGTACCCGCGAAGGTAGACAGATTTGTCCGTTTAAGAATGCCCAATGATATCTGACTCATTCAACTACGAAGCTATTTACAGTTCTTAAAGCCTAACTAAAGATCGTGCTTACTTTCTATGAATGGGATTTTATACATAAACTAAATTTAGTTTACAGACACATTATCAGACACAAATGTAATTGGCTGCATAGTAGGGTTGTTTGTTTGTTTGTTCAGTAGGTGGACGGGAAAGCGCACTGAACAGTTCACAAGTGTCATGCGTCCTGACTTGGACGGTGTCTACTGAGGAGATCTGACAGATCTAATCACCAGGGGCTCCACGTGCTGCTTGAGTTGCTCGAGATGCTCTAATATGTTCTTCTTTGTGATGATCCCCAAGACAATCCTGAAACAGACCATGTTATGCTAATAACTGTGAGAAATTAAATAAAAAGCGGTTCCAATCATAATGATAAAGAATGAGAAAAAAAATTAAACCATAAACTATAAGAATGCGTTTTAATGTACTTTAGCAAATAAAATACAAAACTAAACAAAAATGACTTGAATCCTTGGGTTCCGTTTGCATAAATCCTACT